AAACCACTCAAGTTTTGTGCAGAGGAGGGACAGAATCTAACTTAGAAGAACATCGCTATGGTTGCTGTGTTGAGACTAGATAGTGAGCAGGCAAGGGTGAAAAGAGAAGAACTTGCTAGGGAGCTATTGAAATAATTCAGGTGACAGATGGTGGTGACTGGTGAGTAATTGAGGTGAAAAGTTTCCGGGGAAGGTAATAAAAAAGTGGTGGCAGTTTGTATATGTCGTAAAAGTAGAGACTACAGGATTTCCTGGTTGATTGCAGATGGTATATGAAAGGGAGAGCTCAAAAATGTTTACAAGTCTTTTTGGCCTGAAAAACAAAAGGAAAGATGTACTGATAGAGAAAAGATCAGTAGGGATAAATAGAGGGAAGGTGTGAAAATCAGAAGCTAGATTTAGGGCAAGTTTATTTACAGAAGTCTCGTAGATATACAAGTGGTAATAGAGTTGGCAGTGGGTTAAACAAGTTCAGGAAAGAGATCTGGAGTGGTCGTATGGCTTTTGGAATTGTCAGTTTACAGATGACAATCTACGGGACTAAATAAGATTCCCCAAAGGGTGAATGTACATAGACAAAATAAAAGTTGAGGTTCAGACCTGGGTCACCCTGAATATGTTAGGTCTGGGGAGATGAGGGATATTTGGAGAGTAGCAGTCAATGAAGTGGGAGAGAATTCAGGAAATGTATTGTTCCCTGAATTCAGGGAAGCCAGGTGAAGGAAGTATTTAAAGGAGGAGGAAATGAAAGAACATGTCAAATGCTGCCACTTAGGTCAAGTAAGATAAAGACTGAAAATTGACCATTGGTTTAGCAATATAATCAATGTTTCTTCTTACTTGGAAAGAAGCAAATGATGAAACCAAACAGTCAGACAAGCTGCATTACTTAAAGTCATCCTTACATAACACTGGCTCCCATAGTTTTCATGAATTAAACTGATTTTGGTATTCTTCATTTTGTTTGATTATGCTATAGTAATCAATTCCTTTATCTGTGCCTTATCTGATTTCATGTTGGTATTTTCAAGTTGATCTTTTACAAAAATTATGTGAGGGAGATAAGTCAATGTTACTATCATTGTTTTGTAGAACATACAGTTTTTAGAGAAGATAAATTCAGCCCAGGCCTTCTGACCATTAGAACCTTACCTTTCTACTTTAATTTCCATAAAAGGAGTGGCTGATGCTTCTTTCTTTCTTGGTTTTTGAACCTTTCTTTATGCATTGCTTACTTCTTTTCATACCTTCTATTTATTCTTTCTTAATTCTTTGAATTTTGGTCTTTGGGGCTTTTTTAACAGCTGCACACCATGACCTTTAAGGACAAATATCAATATGACTTTAGAGCTTTAGGGAATTTAGACTTCCGCAGGCTCTGAATCCAGAAAATAGTTCTTATATCCTTTCATCGCCATCCTTTCCTACAGGATTCACTTTCTCCTAGTGTAGGAGAAAGGCTAAATAAATGGCCAGCACTCTATAATTAAACATGCATTACCATTCTCTCATTACAAAGATGGGAATTGCAGGATCCAATATCCAAGTGCTCAATACATCCTGTGACTGTAAGCTCATGTACCATCACAGTGCACGTCCTCTTTTTTCATCTTCTTGATTCTTCTAAGACTGTTGCTTCCTTCCACGCTTATATTATAACAGCAGAAGTTCATATACTGTCAGCGACGAGATTGTATTGTTATGAACAGCCGTCATCGCTGGGGTGTTCAGGTTGGCACCCCAGGGATGGCAACTCGCCATCAGAAGTTCACACGCACAAGCACATAATGGGCAAAACGACTGGATCAATCACACATTTTAAATGATAAAACATAAATTACAAAACTCATGCAGGCAGCTGATTGTATCTCTCTGAAATTTCTAGTTGCCATATCATTGTACATCAGTTAGCTTGGACATTACCATGGGGGAGAACTGGATGAAGAATATGATACCTCTGTAATCAAACTGATATGATGATGGGAAAGGAATGCACTAGGGAAACTACTGTCTTAGGCAAAGTCTACCATGCTGGCCTTTGGGAGTGGAATGGCAGAGCCACAAAAGTAAAAAGATAACAATCAGGGAAGAGAAAGGTGGTTTTATATATATATATATATATATATATATATATATATAATTTTAGCACCAAATATAGTAGTGTTGTTTGCAGTATTATTGAGACTGTAGACTTCACTTTCAATCAGCTGTCATACTCCCAGTCAGCCATTTGCTCTCAGATCTTTTTTTTTTTTTTAGTAATTATTGAATCTATGCATCTTATTGGTCATAGTTCCAGCCTTCAAAGCTAAACCAAACATGCTGCTCTTGTTTCCATTCCATCCTTTTCTAGTCATCTGACCTTCCTTCCCTCCCATAAGAATTCTTAAAATCACTGACTCCACTGATGAAAGTCGGGCTTCTGACCGACCACCTAATAAATAATAAGTTCACCAGTGAAAAGCCTATTTTTCATTGTATTTAGTTACAAGCTTCAGAGACACTCAAAATGGAGGGTGTCTTAGGAACAAATAACACCATGGGCTTGGTTTCCTTATCTCCTATTGGCAATGGCACCTAGCCCTCCCTCTGCTTTGGAATTCATGGCTGTGTCTGTGGCTGCATACTAAACAGGCTGAGGCCGCCACGGCCAGCTCAGCCATCCAGATGCAGCTCAACTAACCCGCGTACCTTAATGGCCATTTCAGAACAGTAGTTTAGACACCCAACACGGCTGCTTTATTTTTAGTGAAATCTATGTGTGTGACCATAAGTAAATTCATATATTATCATTTGAATTGGATTCGGTGAACTCTGTGCAGCTTAACCACAACGTGCTTGTTTTGAAGTCTAGATGACTGGCTTCAAAACTGACCCACAGAAATGTATGTGCAAAATGAGTAAATGACATATAAAGAATTTATTATAAATCAAACATACAAGAAACTAACAAAAATCAAAAGTAAATTTCCCTTCTACTCTTATTTCCTCAGATTCTCCCTTTTACAGAGACAATTACTGTTAATAGTTTTAAGCAGAGACTGTCTACACATAGATGAGTATATGAAGTCTGTCCAGAAATTATCCAGCCATTTATTATGAAAAATAGAGACATTTATTGAAGAGGATACAAGATACAAGAAACATTGTACATATGACAATGTTGCTTTAGTCCCCTTCAAAGTAGGAGCCTTGGGACCTCATACAGTTCTCCTGTCTCTGTTGATTGCAGCCCGTACATATTCAACATTCTCAGGTGTTCTGCTTGTTGCAGGTCTTTCAGGATGTGGATCACTTTCAACAGAATCTCGGCCGTCTTTGAAGCATTTGTGTCACACATTTATTTGCTGTACTCAATGCACTGTTTCAAAAACCTTCTGAATCATCCTAATAGATTCCACTGAGAAATGTTCAAGCTTAATGCAAAATTTGATGCAGATTTGTTACTCTAGTCACTCAGTCATTTTTAATGTGATGGCTACATAGTATACATGCTCACTCAATGGCGTCTACCACCCCCACTGACTAGTACTCTTTCACTGACTAGTACGGTTAAGTCATCATTGTTCACACATGCACATTCCAGTCCACTCTCCTTGGCTACCAGGTTACAACAAAGTCATGTAAAGTGTTTTCATTATATTAACAATGGCTGGACTTTTTCCTGACAGACCTCTATATGTGTAAGTTTTATATGGAGAAAAAACACTATAGCTATACTTGTTCATTTATTGTATAAAAGTTAGCATTTTTTAATTAATAACTCATGAAAGCCTTTTCATAACATTATTTGTGATCTTCCTTTACTTTTAAATAGCTGCCTAATATTCTGTTGAGTGGATATAATCAGTTTGTATTTAACCAGTCACATTTTGATGGACATAGTTTTTTCCAATATTTTGTTATTAACAACAATGCTTCAGTGAACATCATTGCTTGTAATTAGTTTTGCCGCATGTAGTAATATCTGTAAGATACACTCCTGAAAGGAGAATTCATGGCCAAAGGATATACTGAGTTTTTAGGTTCATAAATATTGCCTAAATTGCCTTCCAGAGAGGCTATACTGATTTCCCAACCATGTATAACAAAATTTGTCTCCCCATATCTGCCTCCTCTCACTATATTATGAATTTCTTAAACTTGCCAATGTGATTGTAAGTTATAGTTATCTAATTATGAACATGATTAGGCATTTTAACATTGTTTCCACCTAACCACTCAGTTAATCATCATTGCCTAAATAGTATCCATTCCATGATGGTTTGAAATAGCAGCAAGAATAGATCTCTATGTTTATTTTATTTCTGACCTCTCTATTCTGGTACTTTTATCTTATTGTTTGTGTGTATCAGTACCCATTTTTATAAATTTCTCTACTCTTATAATATCTTAAGGTATAGAGTAGTTTATTCCTCTTCATTGTTCTTTTTCAGAATTCCCTACATATTTTGGCAGACATTTTTATTGGCAGTTGTGTTATTTTATTCAGATAGGCATTGAAATATAACCTGTTTAAAAGTAGGATGTGATCATTATAAGGCAGGGAAAACTTTATGCTTAGATCTGGGGCTAAAAATGATGTGTAGGAAAAGTGAAGCAAAGAAGACCACTAAAGGGATGGAAACCAAATAAATGTTGAAGCACAAGATTCTATATAAAACCCAGAAACAGCCTGGAATAAAACATGCACTTGAATATCGTTAAGTTATTTTAGCAGCCAACTTGTGTTGCAGATCAGCTTGTATAACCCTTGCTTTTAAGGGCTTGACAAACTACCAAGGTTCTGACCTTAACCTGAAATTCCTTGAACTCTCGGTACCTGTGAGCATGCACCCAACATTCCTGCCCCCAGCATGCACTTTACCAGTCACAAGGAGCCATCATTAATGAATGTTCTAGTAGGAAGCATAATTTATAGAGAAGCCAACACTTTCTGAGAAAGAAGAAAATAAATACAGACAGCAAACTACTATCTTTGAGAAGCTTGTCCTTTAAGTATGTCGAGATCCAGACCTTTTAGTTTCACTTCAGTGGTCTCCAAAACAGGAAGCTTGTGTTTGCCACTATTCCAGGTAACCATCTCTTTTTCTGGGAAAAGCTTTTCAGAGTACTCTATGGAGCTCATAGATTATGAATTTTTCTTTGGGTAATTTAAATCATACATTTCAAAGATCTCCCTTCAGAAAGTTTTATCAGAATCTTATGACTACTTATATTTATTGGTCAAAGATACAGAAAACAAAATAGTTCATGATTTTAATCTTACTTCTTCTTTATTTAGTTCTGTTGATTTTGAAGTAATATGATGCATTGTAATCTTTGCTTAACTTTGCTATGCTGTAATTTTTTTTAAATAAAATATGCCATTGACTTAGCAAAACACCATGGCAGAGTTAATTTAAGACATGTCTATTACTCTTGCCTGCAACCATATTTGACCCGTGACAGTTTTCCATTGCTGAACGATGTATACAGAACCATCTTAGAGTTTATTTTGGTTCCTCTGCTTTAACATCTCACTCAGACTAACACCTACAACTCTGTAGCTGTATTACTTGAATGCAATGTATTTGAAAGATTCATGTTTGAAAATACACGAAGACTTTGCTCCTCATTTCCTGATAACCTGAAGTCTGACAGCTAATGCATTGGCAATAAGGTAGTAATAATGAAATATTGCGTACTCACTCCTTGCTAGCGTGTAGCACACCAGAAGGTTAGGAAGTGACTCAAAAGTGCAATGCTGGCATTATTTGTTTATCTGTTAAACTGTATCCCAAATGATTTCATCTATTCATACATAAACTCTCTTTATAGACAAACTTTGAAAGTTCATTTTCTTCTCAGTTAGTATCCAAATCTATTAGCAACATTTTAGTAAAAGAGAGTGAAACTTATATTCTGTGTTTACAAATTGTTCATTACCATGCTCTCTGATGGCTAATTCATGGCTCCATCTGAAACTCCACAAACCTCTTTGCCCAGATAAACATGGTAGAGTAAATATAAGGTGCTGATAAAGATGCATTTGAGATTAAGAAAAAAAAAGACATGTTTTACACATTATTCCCATGTGTATCATTTTAAATTTTATAACTACTTACTTGGATTTATATTTCTGTGTTATAGGCCAGGGAAATAATACTTTACTAACCTTATCAACTCATATTAGGACTATATGTAAGTGACATTTAAAGACTTTCTTATTGTACACAGAAGAAGTCTCATTGCAAAGAGAAAAAAAACAAGCAATGAAAACCTGTAGAAAGGAGGACTTTCTTTGCTCTGTGATGTGTTACTGTAACCTGTCAGGCTCAACACAAAGAACTGTAATAATTGTGTTGGATTGCTTATGGTTTGGGTCTTTTAAAACAAATCCATCAAAACTATTACTTTTCCCCTCTTCTTTGATAAAGAGAGAAGTGTAAATCTCAGCAGGAATGTTGTGCCTTTAAATCCACCCGAGCCTTAGAGCAGGTCAAAGTCACTCCATCAGGCATAGATTTAACACCCATGAATGTTAATGGCATGAACTTCTGTTTTCATGCAAATAATTAACGTTCTTTCTCTAACTAAAATATGAAAACAAAGAGAAAATGCAAGGTGCATAAGTTCTTTAGAGCAAGAAAAATCTGCCTATAGAAAAAACAAAAGGTGTTTTTACATCCATCTATAATGGTGTGTAAGATAGGAACTGGCTTACAATATATACCTCCCGTTGTTGCTGAGCTGGAAAAATCTACCCAGAGACCTTTTTTTCCAGTTAACATTCTGTGTATCTGGCAATAAACTATACTTCAAAGCTTTTAATTAAAAAAGCAAACAAAATTATAGAAACCCACCTTGTCTCTAGGTGCTGTTGTATTAAAGGATTAGACTGACGAGATGTTTGGATTTTATTGTTCTAAACATGTGTTTCAGTTGGTGCTCTCGGACCCACCATGTGAAGAAAATGAAATGTAAGTAAATAGCAAGAGGCATTTTCAAAATTCAAAGAATTAAAAAAGGCTCAGGTCATTTAAAGAACCCCAAATGAGTTTCAAATGACCAATATAACCATGCAAGAAAAAGAAAATTGTTTTAAATGCAAGCAGCATAATTTCTCTAAAAGCAGATGAAAATGCATTTTCCTTATGATCATCTTTGTTAAGTAAATAAGGAGCCTTGTTGATTTCTAGGTATTTTTGCTCACTGCATTCTCCACTGTTTAGATTTCAAGGGTTCTTTACATTCATGAAAGAATCCATATATCACCTATGGCTGCATTCGTACATATAAATCACATCGGTCATGGGAGGTAACTTTCTGGATAATTCAATTTCAAGTATAAGCAAACTAATGACATTTCTAAACTGCTTTATGTGTATATTTCAAAGTGCTTTTGATATATAGTTGTGGGGGCTAAAAATATATAATACTTCTCCCACCTTCTAAGTTTTTCTAGTGGGGCTAATAATTCAATCAACAGAGACAGATTAACAGGAGAAAAATAAAAATTTTAATACATGTGCATAGGGAATTTACATAAGCATAAAAATTCCAGGTACAGTAGGGCAAAATTGTGCCTATGTCATTTTGGACAATAGAGAAAGAAGGAGACTGGATCTTACATTACAAAAGTGAGACTGGGCCATTTATAGGTAATTGAGGAAGTGTGGAACATACAAGGCAGGTAAATATTTGCGAGGCAACTCAGAAACAGCGGGGCACAGAAAATAGCTAAATGGCCTTTGACTGAAACCCTTTTATTTATCATATTTAATTTAAATTAATCTAAGGCTAACATCCTAAGGTCCCCTTCCTAAAGTGGACCTTCCATCTGAATCTCTTAGAGAGGAGTGGAGATGGTCAAAGGTTCTTTCTGAGCCTTTGTTTCCTAATAAATAGCTTAAAATCAACATTTCAAAAGACAAAACTTTGGTTCCTTTCACAGTCCTGTGCCACTTCATGACTGGGATACAGCCTTGACTTTATCAAAGTACTGAGTTTCTATTTCAATAGTTAACCTTAGGTCCATAGATTCTCAGCCCGGAGAACAGTATTAAAGATGAATTCCTCTAACCATCCTAGTAAGAAAGAAATCATCTTCACAACATTTGAGTAAAGTGGGACACTTGTCATTCCTGTAGGGACAAAGATGATGCCTTTCAACAGTTACTTCCAGAGAAGTCTGATATTGGAAATGTCTTTCTGAAACACATGGCCAGTTCTTACTTTTCCTGGACTTATTTTTTATTAGCATCATTATCCCAATTTAACCAAGCATATACAAATCTCTGAGCAATAACTTTATCATAAAAAAAAATAACATTTTCTACACAGAAGATCTTACATCTAAATCTTGAGTTTTAGATGTAAACTTAAGATTTAGATGTAATATTTTAGAATTAAAATATTGTTACAGTTCAGATACTTTTTTTAATAACTCAAAGAAATTCTGTTTAAAAATTGAATTTGATTAAAACATGGAAATAATGGATGGTAGGGAAGGACATGGGGCCAGGAGAGCCATAATCTAGTTTAAGTTCTTTGGGCAGCTAGTGACCTCCCCATTTGTTTTCTGGGTCTCAGTGATAAAGTGTGTAAAATCTTAAGGGGGAAATAAATGATCCCAAAGGTGCCTTCAAGTCCTAAATTATGTCATCACTTTGCATTTCTTCAACTAACTATTTCTTGCTGCCTATCAGAAAATCCACCAGTAGGTGCACAGTGTCAGAAGAGAAAGTGAAATAAGTCAGTTTGCCTAATTGTTAGCACTGGAAAAAATATTGAGTGGCTCAAAAATTAAAGCTAGGAAATAAAATGAGGTAGTTAACTTGTAATCGATGTTATAATAAGTATATAGTCTATTTTTAAATGTAAAGAAGAGAAGCAGAGATTTATATATGGAGGGAAATGAAACAATCCACACTTCTGGTCATGAGCTTAGATTTCAAGACTCAAAAACAAGAAGCTTCTGTTTTGTTTTGTTTTGTTTTTTTCAATTTGGATAAACCACAAAGAAAAGTTTCCTGCAGTCATCTCTAAATTGTAATGCTACATGTTTATGATTTTTATATTTTAATATAATGTCTAAACATTTTATGACTACAAAAGTGATGCATGTACATTATAAAAATTTAAACAATATAGAAATATTGAAAAGATGAAGTGCCTCATGACTTTATGTTCAAGAGAAATAAACATTGTTAGTAATTTGATGTACTATATATACACATATATAACTATATAATACCTATTTAGTGAAATCATTGTACTTGTATAAAATATGCACAAAGTAGAAATAGTGCCATGTATTATTTTATTTATTAGGTTTTTAATTATAAATATAAATCTACATTTTTTGATGACACGATAATATTCCTTTTAAAAGATGTGTAATTATTTTTAAAATCTTTTAATGATGATCACTTGTCTTAGGATCCTTTTGAAAGTCATATTTCAGCTGCCATTTTTTTCTCAGCATATATACCTATGTATTTGACTAAACCCTCTAGGTGCAAAAACAAACACCCAATAAAACTTCTGTCTGAGTGATTGAATTTTGTCTTAAATATTTGGGGTAAAATTTTTAAGTCAACACATATGTCAGTTCTGAAGAGTAGGATGATAAACAGGACACACTTTCTCTTTAGAGATACTGGGAGCAATAAATTAACTGACATTTATGAATGCTTTCAAGCTGAAAAGCACCAAGTGTTATTTTAACAATGGCTGTAGAAGACGTGATTAAGTGCAGCTCCATATCCGAAGCTTATCGGGCTGTGATGAACAGCTTTCCATTCTTTAATCCCAGAATATTTTAACAGCAGCCAATCTACTGAGGCATGAAAGAAGTCTATCACCAAACATACTGTCAAAACCCAGTGTCTGGCATAGTGAGTGACTCTGGAATGAATAGCAAATAAGTGTCTAAACCTTGGGAGTTAAACCACCTAAAGCTATGCTGTGAACTTTGTTTGTGTGTGATCTTTTGAAACTTATCTTTGGAAAAATTAAGTTGTGCTGAGGCACACAAAGGGTTTGACCATACTGACTGAACAAATCCGCTTTCAACACTTTGGTAAATGGTCCAACTGGTCACACTCATTCATTTTCCTTTTATCCTAACTTCTTTCTCCCACTAGAGTTGAAGGGTTGTTATTCCCTACACAGATATCAAAGGCTGATAGGTATTATAAATGTCCCTGGAGAATTTGCATTTTAGAGAACTCTGGATCTCTGAAAAAAGAGAATAGTGGAATGATTGTCTACAGGGCTATGACATGTTAGCCCTGAAAAGTTAGTCACTATCTTCTCCACACACAACAGTATTTGTAACTCTAGCATCAAACCTACTACAGTGCAATTATCTGTTTAAGTATCTGATAGTTTCCATTTACATGTATCCTCAGTGCCTTGAATGAAGAAGCCATACAGTAAACATTTACTTAAGTGTGTCAGGGGACTTGCAGTGAGTAAATGATTGTTGGGGAATTAGGTGGCAGAACAAATATTGTGGTCCAAAAGAACAGATTTGGCCATTTAGAGGTCCAACACTAACTGTTCTTTCTTTATCATCAGGTGCATAACCTATAAAGATCAATACTCAGATGAATGGTATATCTGGTAAGGACATCTTCACTTTGTTTTATAAACCTTTGGTTTCATGTATATATATACACACACACATACATATATACACACATACACACACACACTCTTTTTCTTAAATAACTGATATGGCACATAAAAACATACCTATTAAGAAAATAATAGAGGTCGTGTGAATCAATATATGTGGAAACATCACTTTCAGGTTGTTGTCCAAGGTTTACTTAAATAACATATATAAGTAAACTTATTATTTTTAAGAATAATAGTTTACTTCCTAGTTGAAAATCTTTAAGGGTAAAATTATTGTTCCTTTTCTTGATAGCTTCTGAAATGCCTCTTGCACTGATTTTAGTTCTGGTCTTAAACGGGATTCAAAATAAGACTGCTGCCTCTTTTACAAGCTAGTCTTTTAGAAATTTTGACTTATTATAGACTCCTAACTGTTGACTTCTGAACCTTCCAAACTAAATGTGGCCAATTTTTCTCATTTAGATAACTCCTCAAAGACAACGACTATGTCTTACTTGTCAACCCCAATATCTAAAATCTGTTCAGTTGCTTAAATTCTGGCTGAATGAATGGATTTGTGGCTGAATTAAAGGAATAATGGATAAGTGAGTTAAAGAATCATGACACTGCTCCCTAGAACAACCTTCCATTCCCAAAGAGGAAACACTTATGATCAGCAGGCAAGGCAACCCTTTTGAGCTCAGCATACATTCCAGGTTCAGCAAAAATGTACAAATGGTGGTTGTGGTGTGGGGCATTGCTGAACGAATTCAGCCTCCCAGATCGCTCGCAGCCAGTCTTGTTGAGTTCCTGCACCCTTTTCAGGAAGTAATAGGAGCTCCTAAGTTCCCTACAAGTTCCACCTCAGTCCTCTTCTTATTCTTCTGGGATCAGGTTCTTGCTGCTAATTTTCCTGGTGGCTCTGCTCTGTGGAGCAGTGCTCTTCTGCCTTCAGTGCTGCCTGAGGAGACACAGAATTGGTTCCCCACGACGCACCATGGCTGTTTTTGCTGTTGGAGACTTGGACTCTGTTTATGGTGAGCTGTCTGCACATTTATGAACTTGCTCTTTGAAACTTTATAGTTTTGTGGTACATTAAAAAAACCACACCAAAAACCCTAATCTCTGAAAAGCAGATATTTGATCTTACAACAGCACACAGTTTATTGAAGATTCAAAGCAATACACTGGGAGAGAGTGTGGGAAACCTTTAGAAGATAAGAGACCACAAAAGAAAAAAACAAAAAAAACAAATGTGTCTTGGGAAAAATATTTATAGTTGGGTATGGATAGAACCTAAACATTTTGCTCAGCCAGCAAGCAGAAAAGAAGACATATAGAGGGTTGGTCAGCTAAAGTGAGTGGTAGGGTTGAAGGTGCAGAAAAGTTTTTTTGCGAGTTTGATATCAGTCTATACTATCCTGTGTTCATAGTCTCATTTACTAAGCTTTCTATTCCTCACTTATCTACAGTAACATTGAACCACACTTTCCAGATTGTCTGCTGCCTATGCAAAGTCTGAAAAACTTGGAATTGGGCAAGGAAGTATAAATACTCATTATTTTTTTCCTCCCCAGACACATTGGCAATATCCTGATCTTGCCTGTTTCCACCTACCCCCTGAACCATGCCCTTCCTATTATTTTCTAGTCTGTACTAAGAGGTAATAAATGGAGAAAATTGAGGTCTCAGAGTTATTATTAATTCCAAGCCTTATCCTCGTCTAGAACGTCTGAGAGTTTCCCTCTAAATTACTGTACTCTGTATACCACAGTTGCTTCAAAGATGGTTAGTAAAGATTAACAACTGCATTTCAGAAATTTGGGCCACATAAGATTTCCAAGAAATAGTACAGGGCATGTCCTGGAAAAACTAACAGCTAAACAAAAGGTGGGATAAGAGTAAAACATTGTTTTAATATCAAAATTCATTACTCTAAGGTTTAGTGATTATATTCACTACTGACTTATTTTTAATTCATTATTTATGAAGGGAAACATTCCCAATTTGAGATATGGTTGTTTTGGGAAAGATAATTAAAATCTTCAATGAATATAGTTTTTTCTCTTAAAATCAAAATTATTTTCCTCTGGATTCAGAGGAAAATAGGGTCATTGACCCTTTAACAAAATACGTGAGTCAAAGAGGTCAACATGGTCATCTTGGTCTATTTTGCTTTATTTACTAGAGGTATTAAATAAACAAATGTAATTATGTTCCTTTCAACTTGCTTGAGTTTCTGTATAAGAGAATCCACCTGGGTCCTCTTAGCCCTTCTATTACTCTAAGGAAGACTTCCTGAAATCCTAACAAAAAAAAGTTTTTTTTTAAATTTAAGTAAATTACCCAGTTATACAGTTATAATTGTAAGGCAGTTTATGTGCCATAGTTATACCCCTATTTATCTAATGATTTCATATTTCTGGAATGGTGGTTTATATACGTGTTTTTGAATTTGCTTGAACTTACCTGAGCAGGTATGACTGTGAGAGAAGGGGCCAAGACTGATACAGTACTTCAAAGTCTGCATGTAACAGCGCTGAGTGCAAGGCATTGAAATCACATTCTTGGTATTACCCTGAAGTCATTATGGACAGGAAAAGAAAATACTTGGGAAAAATTGTTTTTTAGAACAATAGCATAGTCACAACTTATTTCATTATCTACTAAGGGTTAGGCATTATTAGGCCCAAGGCTTCTCAGATATTATATCTAGTTCCTAAATACCAGTTTGGAAAAGTGGCTGTTCTCTTAGAGGATATCTACTCTACTGAATAAATGTACCACATAGATAGTTGCTGTAAGTCAATGAATAGACTTTCAATTATCCCAGAATTAAGGGTAAGGAGCCAAGGGGAATTGAGCAGGGTACTTTTGGCTTAACCACCTACACTAAGTACAACCTTGTATCTCGGACCTCCAGATATTTCCATATTGTGATTTCTTAACGCTAGATTGCTCTCCAGGATTCTCATTCCCTTCTCTAGTCTATCCTTCCTCTTTAATTCCACTAGTATAGTTCTGGATCTTACTCTGATGAAGAAACAATCAAACTTTCCCCTAGCTTCAGCTACATTACGAAGTTTACTTTGATTGCCATCTTAAACATCACAGGTTCAGTTGCCCCGTCCCATTAGTATTTTCCCTTCACCTGCACTGGGCTAAGTGTTAGGTTATGTCACCCATTGCCCATCTCCCACCCTTTCCTCTGTAGGCTGGGGGTGGACGTATACTCAGTGAGCAGTCATTCACATAGCCTTTGATGTGGCATTTTTTGTTTCTCCTCTCTAAAACAAAATGTAGAAGAGTAATTTAGGGAGTATGTGAATCTCTGTGACCTGTAGTCACGTCTTCTTAACTAGTAATTTTTGGAAGTAAATTCCAGGGAGTCAATATTTTAAGCTTGTCAGAGACCCAGATCCACACTGGATTTCTTTTCCCCACTCTTTGTGCTTTCACTTCTCCAGACAAATGCATCTTCCTACCTAGTGTTTCCATGGAAGGAGATGCTTTCCCAAAGGGAGGTGAGAAAAACACTACCAGGATATTTTTATGGCTAAAGAAGAAGGGAAGGGCCAAAACCACAGCCTTTACCTCCACAACCCCACAAACTACGTGGAACTAAGTTTGGTTACTGTCAGCTTCACATGTCCACTCTGCAGATTATAGGGTGCCCTTCTGAGTCTTCCTCAAGGCCAGTGTTCAGAAAGTGGGAAAACGAGAACTCACTTGAGGACACTGGTGACATATGAGAATATGGAATAGGGTTTCTGGGCTCCCTGTCACCCTTGAGCACCAAAGGGATGATAGATTGTTCTCCTTTGTAGGAAATGGGTCATTTAAAACATTTCAATGGAACTAGATTTGCTATATTAACTTGAGTCCCTTCTAGACCTTTATTTTACTTTTTCACAACTTATTTCATGTTATTACTACTATTTATTGAATATGTTATTTGAAACAGCTCTGCTCTTCTGACTTGTGGCTGAGAGGTCTGACTCTCAGGATTCCACGGAATCTACCTTACTGAAAAGAGCCAAGTGGAGAATTCTGACTGACTATTAGAGACTGGAGTTGACTGGAATTTACTGATATTAAAATACATAAAATAGCAATTTCCTCTCACTAGCAATTTCTGATAATATCACACGACTCAGGTTGCCAATTACCTTGATCAGATCTAGTAAGAGAGAAAAGAAAACACTTGGCTTGGGAACCTCATGTCTGATGAGATTTTTGTCTAAGACAGGTCCTTGGAATCTCAGCCAAACACCTGGCCCCCAGGAGCATCACCTGGGCCAATAATCATCTTTTCACAGTTCTCAGCTGATCTAGTGCTCAGATTTCTCAGCTTTTCTTCCCCTCTCATTGGACCTGTGTTACCAAGATGATACATATGCTATGATTAAACTCTTTATGAGCCAAGATGGGAGAATTATTATCTCCGCTACTCCATGGAGGATAAGAGGGGAAAGGAGGTATTGTCAGAGAAAGAGGAAAAGATAGACCAGAAGAACGTAAAAACGGGGAGGAGAAGGGAAAGATAAAGAGTAAGAGGAGAAGGAACCTATAGTTTGAAGTTGGAGATATTTTAAGGACTGACATTGAAACATTTATTTTGTACAATCCCTACAACCATGTTATTTTGTTCTGCTTCAGGCGCAGCTCCTCTTCTGGATCCAATAGGATCTCATAGATGGTCTCTCCTTCCCCTATTAGCCTTCCTCCATCCCCAGCTCATATGATCCTGTTTTCTGCTATAATCTCAGAAAGGACCCCTTCGCTGCCCTCATGTCTTTTCCAATGGGATAATCCATGCAGTAGTAACAGACCTTATTGCTCTCCTCTTTCAATCATCAGAGACTAACAATTCTAGCATAACTCAGGTGTTTTTTTGTTTTTTTAGCACCTGTGTCAAGAGTAAAAATAATGTAGAGTTTCAAAGTTTCTTTTTTTAAAATACATCATTATCTTACCTATGTTAATGAAGCTTCTGGAATCCCTCTTTTCCGATCATTCAAAAGAGCATACAGCTTTACAACAAGGTCCCCCCTCCCCAACTGTGTAAATAGAGAGTGAGAACACACATTGGGCCTCAGGAAGTGATTTTTTTAAAGGAACAAGCCAATTTTTTAGTAAAGTGTGATATAGAAGAAAAAAGATCATTAAAATTCTCACACAATCACTGTTTCCCAAATCTCTATCATTATGATCAGTGTTCTGCACTTTGTAAGACCAAGAACTATACAACAGAAAGAATAGGTGGAGGATGCGCCTGACTGAAACAAAAGAAGACATAATATTTTAGGTTTGTTAGATTAATATTTTTAACTAGTGTTTGAAAAAATAAGCTATGAAAGGGAATCATTAAAAGGAGTTTTAAAGTTTATTATAATTCACTGAAAATGTGAATAGTAAGTTTTCATTGAAAAATTGAAAAAAAAAGATTGTGAAGTTGAGTAAAAACACCCTTATTTATGAAGTAAGACATTTAAAAATAATTTAAAAACTTAGGGTTTGGGAGTGAGAGAATGATGAAGGGATTGAGGCAGGAAAACATGTAGTATTCATTAGAAAAGATTTTGAGAGCCTAAGAGAGGGATCCCTGCCATTATTTCTCCATATTTTTTAATAAAAAAATAATACATTACTGTAGAAATCTACATTGAAACTCTTTCTTTCTATTTCTCAAGTATGAGAGCTGTGTCCTCTCAGCCCTGACAAAGCAGCCAGCAGTCTCCTGACTTCCTGGGTAGACCTTGAGGTGAGAATCCTCTGAGACATGCTTCTTGGGAACACTCATTTTTGTTTAGCTTCTCCTCAGGGCTGATCTCCCTGATAACGCTGCCTTTCCACTATCCGATCTCCCTGACCCCATTTCTTCTGCTATTTCCGAGATAATCTTTCTTTTTTATTATTTTAAGGCAAATTGAAATACCAAGCTTCCAGCAGTGATTAAATGTGAATGCTCAGAGTCAGGGAGGGGAAGGAGGGCTGGAGAGAGACAGGCAAGAGCAAACCCTTACACTCTGCTCTCTTCTCCCCTCATCACACCCAGAATCCTGTCATTTTAAATGTAACTTCGCAATTCTTTATGTTTTACATGTAAATATTCTGTGATTCATTTGGATAAAGAAGGGGAGTATTTTATTCACACACTTTCACAGAAAAGCATGAGAGTTGTAACTGCTCACATTTATTGAACATTTATCATGTGTCATGCTCTGTGTTAATGCTTGACGTCTCCAATTTCATTTATTTTTCCTTCTACCTCAATGAGGGGTTTGCTATCATTCTGAATATTCCAAAGATTACGAAACAAAAGCACTTAGAGATTAAGCAACACAGTTAACAGATGAAAGAATTGTGACACAAAGTCAGACATTCTTAGCCACACCCTATAAAAAAGAAAAGGATGAAATAGAGAAAACATTTTTTTAAAAAATAGGTAGAAAAGGCATATTAAAATAAGCCAAGTTCATTGGAATGATTCTTAATTATGTGGGAAACCTGAAATCTGCCTATAAAAACTCAGCAATGAGTGTATTTGTTTCACACAATTAAACAACAGACACTAATATCTTCACTAATGGTTCTGTCAAAGCCATAGCATTTTTACAGCGACTTTTAACTGATTTCTCTCAGATTCTTAATCTGTCAAAAAATAAAAGTAATACTTGCTTCCCTTCCAATCACACGATATTATACATAAACATGATTTGAAAAGAACTGAAAACTAATATATGATTTTACAAAATCTCTCTGAACACATTGTCTTAGTTGTGTTTATTAAATGAATGCCTTGTTTTCATAGCAAGTTTAAGAGCAATATCCAAATCTGTAGTAAGGAGATAACAATAAAACTTTTCTACCACAGAGGGCAATTGTCAACCTCCTGTTGCCTGGACTATAGTTATCGATAATGGCAGAGGTGGAAACCATCTGAGCTAATAACTGTGTCAAGTCAATCTGGTTGACTACTCCAAGCAAAATGATAGCTAAATTACCATTGACTTTGTATTGAACACTTCAGGAGCAGTTCTCCTGGAAAATGGGCGGTGATCAGTAAAAGTACCCATAATTCAGGGAAGTGCTGGGGCAAGAACACTAATGAATGTTAACTCTGCTTTATTGTAAAGTCCTTCATACTTAGCTTACATCATCCTAAACTTCCTAACTGCAAATGACTCTAATGCCACAAAATTTTTCACTTAAAATTTTGTGTTATAACATTGATAATGATGATTAAAATGTTATTTGACCATTAAAATAGGACACATTTGGAAGTAATGTGGTAAATAAAAGAAAATAGCAATATTTCTAGCATAGTATAGTCCTTTATTGATATTTATAGTAATAATAATGATAATTAAATATTAATTAGTAATTACTGTGTGCCAGGCTTTGTTTTAAGCACTTTACATTTATTTAGCCTTGCTTTTATAGATGTAGATACTATCATAGTCTTTTTATTACATGAAAAATAAATAGAAAGATTATGTAATAGCCTAGGAGTAGATTATTCAAGTTAAATAACTTCTTTGAAAAAGTGCTGAACCAGGAGGTAAGACATATTCTAAATATAACTCTACCTTTCATACATTATATTAATATTTGAGTTATTATGCTTTGCTCTGGAAACCAGTGAGATACAAAATAAAATAAATACATGAAAATCCATGATTCTAAATAAACGTTACCCACTCCAAAGTAATAATTTTGAGCACTCTATACATGGGTTCTTGTGATGTAGCCATTGCCTAATACATAATTACCCTAAATTGTTTTGATAATTGTGGCATTGTCTTTGGAATCTTCTTGATGGTATCAAATCTTTATCCTTTAAGGAAAAGGTGAGAAAAATTTTCTATTAAGGGCCGGATAGGAAATATGCTAGTCTTCACAGGCCAAAAAATCTCTGGGTCTTCTTACTTTTGCCACTTTAATGCAAAAAACAACCAGAGAGAATGTATAGATGAACAGGCATGGCTGTCTTAAATTTAATATACAAAAGCAGTAAAAAAAAATGTTCAAAACTATGTTGAGAGCCTAGTTTCTTCTTAAAGGTTGTTACTGTGGTTTTGGGAAGAAACAATCAAATGATTTCCAGACAGGTAAAGATCCATGTGAAAAAAGGAAAAAATATACAGAGAGAAATGGTTATAAAATATTACTATTGATTTCCTGTGACTGCGAGACAGTCTTTCAAGAAAATACTAATAGAAAATTTCAAAAAGAGCTTTTGGATTAAGTGAATGGTCTCTTGAGGTGATCAGTTTGAAAAAGAAAATGCTTGGCTTTTATATTTAATGGCTTGTAGTATGCATAATCTAAAGGTCAAGAGCTTTGATTTTAAAATTTAAAATTCAAGATTGCCTTCCCTTTATTGTGGGTATATACTTTAATTGCAAACTTTTCACAACTTAATATTTTTACTATTGATCATAAATATTTTAAGTAATTAATTGTATTAGTTGCCATTCCCAGATCATAAATATAAAATAATGAATATTCTAATGTTTAAGTAAGATTTGCATTTCCCATGATCGGAGTATTAGCTAAAATGCCATTTGTGTGTATAAGAATCTTGTCTTCTGATTTACCAAAACTGGTAAGTTTTTTTTAGGTTGCAGCTGCTAAATTGCAGATGCTTATTGGTGGGTTAGTCAATGATGATACATTCTAGCCCCCTCTTATTTGCAAGAGATATGTGTTAAGACTCTTGGTGGATGACTGAAACTGTGGATAATAGCGAATATATATAATATATATATTATGTTTTCTCCTTATATATGCATTCCTATAATAAAGTTTCATTTATAAATTATACACAGTAAGATTAATAACTAACAATAAAATAGAACAATTATAACAATATACTGTAATGAACATTATGTGAATGGCTTTGGGGACATTATTAAGTAAAACAAGGGTTACTTGAAAAGAAGTACTATGGTACCTTTACAGTCAGTCAGGTAATCAAAATGGTACTAAGTGACTAATGAGCAGGTAGCATATAAAGCGTGAATATGTTGGACAAAACGATGATTTACATCCTGCACAGGCCTGAGCGAGATGGCTGGAGATTTCATCATATTACTCAGAACAGCATGCAATTTAAAACTTATGAATGATTTATTTCTGCAATTTTCTATTTAATATTTTTGGACCATGATTGACCTCGGGTAAATGAAACTGCAGAAAGTAAAACCACAAATAAGGGGCAGCTATTGTAATCAGTCGCTGAGAGCAAATTTTCTTGCTATAGTGACTAAGATGATTACAAGTTTTTTCCTCAAGTGCACAGATAATTTTCTGTTGCTCCAGTGACTCAAGAAATGTCAGATTTTATGAGGCATTTCATGTACATCTCTTTTATACTGAGGAGAAAGATTATAAATCCCATTTTTCTCTTTCCAGAGACAGAAGCAGCTATGAATCCAACTGCTGGAATTCACCCTCAAATGCAAAACCCTGCACTGAATCCTGTTGCATGTTTCCACACTTTAGGACCCCCTCCTCCATATGAAGAAACTCTGAAATCAGGACAGTTTTAGATCTGGATCACCAATTGAAAACATTAGAGATGTTTTAAGTTCAAAACATCAAATTGAAGAACAATTTTTTTATTGTGTGGGAATTCCCAGAGATCAATTAACATAGCCTGGAAAAGGACAAATAGGAAAAAAAAATGTAGGGAAAGAATTTTTGGTTAGGAAGATGTTTCAGTGATAAATTAGTGGACTCAGTGTATCACTGCTGTGTTATATTTTTGCTTTGTAACTAAATTAATGTTTCTTCTTTAATATTCAGACAGTAATCAATGCTCAGAGTGATCTCAACTAAGTTTAGGATTCCACTCTAGTAAACATTATAGGTTTTTCTGCCTCAATAACTCCATTTTAATCTGGTCTCTCTCCTAGTATATAGTCAATAACAATTATCGTAATTTAATAGTGACTCAAACAGAGATTCAGACACGTCCAGAGCCAGAATCAGAAAGGGAAAGACAAAATGTTAGATTAATGCCTCAAAAATGTTTAAGCCATAATCAGTGCAAATAAGTAATATTGAGGTTTAAAATGGGAGCTATTCAGATTGACAAGCTAGTCAGAGGGGAAATGTGTGTGAAGGAAAATGTCAGGATGGAATAAGAAAGCTAAATTCTAACCTCAGATTGTATGCAGTTAATGAATAATATCTAATTTTTTAAAATGTCAAGAAATAATGCTAAAGTACATCATTTAGATAGTAAGTTACAAATATCTGAAGCAAAACCCTCAAGAGCTGAAAATGATTGCCTCGCCCTGGCCTGGTGGCTCAGTTGATTAGAGTGTCGTCCCATGCACCAAAAGGCTGTAAACTCAATCCCCAGTCATGGCACACCCTAGGTTGTGGGTTTGATCCCTCCATCAGGTTGTGCTTAAGGGAAGCAACCAATCGACGTTTCTCTCTCACATTGAGGATTGAAAAGAAAAAAAGAACATAATTACCTCAAGAAACAAGATTTAGAGGTAATATATGGGGATTAGGTAGAGCAGGATAATGTTGTTTTTTTGTTGTTGTTTTTAATCACAGGCCCATAGCACTATTTATCTTTTGAAACTAAACACATGCATTACTTTAATTAAATAATAATTTAAAGTTAAACAAATTTTGGCAAAGTTATAGCTTTCAATGGCAAACAAAAGAAAATCACACTGTAAGAAAAAGTAAAATGTTAAGCATAAAAATGTTTAAAGGTGGGGTTACAGGTGATTTCATTTTTTACTCATGTTTCTGAACTTTTGTTTGGTCCTAAGTTATGTGTGTTAAAATCTCCTCCAGTTATAGAACAGTCAGTCAGCGGTTATAATGAATTCTTAGAAAAGTGTTAGCACACCTGGAAATGGGGCTAATTCAGCAGCTGGAGTTGTCAGAAGTTAGTGAAGCCCAGATTCAAGTGATTAGAATTTATTTTTAAGAGGGTTGCATTTATGTGTAAGAGCAAGTCTAAGCAAACTACATGCTTGACCTCTGGTTGCCTGGTTTATTTAACGGAAGCAGGGTGGAGAGGTGGTAATAGGGTTTACGCAGGTGGGCAGGGCTGGTAGCAGAAGAGTTTGTTTTAATGGAAAATTTTCTGACAAATATCTCATCAAATATCAGAGGTTACACTTTCATTTATTGTCTAAGAAATACTTACTGAATGATTATTATGTTAATTATTGTTCAAGGTCTGAATTTGTTTCCCCGACATACTTATGTATTATTTGTAATGATACTACAATTTCTACCACTTGGCTCTGACCAGCAGACAGCAACTTGGAAGTTCTGCAGCAGAAGCTCTTTATGGTCCACTGCAAACCATTGCAAACCATACAATAATAAAACTAATTTAGATTATAGGATTAATATGACTTTTGGAAAGAAATTTAAAAAGATAAACCTTTGTTCCTTTTCTGTTTTCTCATCTCTGGAAATCTTTGCCTGCATTCAAATTAAGTTTCATCAATAAATTGTTAATATTCCATTTAACCCGGTGTCTCAGATTTTAATTCTGACAGGAGGAGACTTTTTCTTGCCATGTTAAAGAGCAGTTTTTCCAAATGAGGTTTTCTTACTACTGAAGCTGTAGCTTTTTCTTTGAACATCCAGCAGAGGGCATGAAAGCCTATCTGTGATTCTAGCCCATTAACTAGATTTGGTTTCTTGGTTAAATGAAACCATAAAGCTGGATTACGATTGATATCAGATTTATGACAGACCCTAGAAGACTAGATTAACCATGAGGTTGAAATCTGCAAAGACAGCTCTAGGGCTTTAGCTCATATTGCTCACAATGAAGATGAACATCAGGAGAGATGCCTGTCAGCAGAGTCTATTAAATTTGCTATGTACTCCCTGTCCTGAGGATGAGGCTTGTGAGTTTGAGATGCCCCTAAAAGGAGGGTAATATATATGTATAAAATGCTCAAGTGGGATGTGGCATCCATAGACTCTGTCGGTCCAGCCTGTTTCTTTTTTACCTGACTGCAAATTCTTATATAATTTTCAGTTTTGTAGTTCCAATTGTTTTCCTTTATGTTTGGTACAACTTTTATAAAAGATAACTTTAAAATTCAATGTCTTTCATGGAAATGAAATAGAGCTGGATGGAATTGAAAAACATTTGTGTGAACAATGAAATGAAACTCAGCCAGAATATTATATTTAAGGCAAAATGTGAAATACTTCAGGATTGTATAAGAGAAAATGAGACAATAAATATGTGTTGGCTATGAGACCCTGCTTTTGATAGAATATTTTAAAAATCAAAACAAGGAAGAGAAATATAGAATATACATTCCAAATGAATCTTTTAATTTTAAAATCATTTTTCTTTGTGACTTTAAACAAAAGAAATCCATACAGGGTTTTTTTTTTTTTTTTTTATATTTAATACTGGATTCTGAAAAATAGTATAGGTTTTTTGTTATTTTACTAAATATTGTTCTGGGAAATGGAATAAAAGTAATATCTGTTTATAAAATGAAATAGTTTGGTGATAAACAAAATTTACTTGTATTTGTGAATTTGGAAAATAGTTATTTTTCCTTCTAGAAACATTCCCATCTACATCGACTATCTGGCTCATGAAGCATATAATGTATATCAATCAGGATGTCAGGTTTTTATAGGAATAAGTTGAAAAATGATGTTGCTCAAAAGCACTGAAAATATCAATGAACGAAGGTTGAAATTAATACAGATTTCTTAGTTTTATTATCTTGTTTATTAGCGGAGGGTTTTCTCTTTTGAAAATCGTGTAAGTGATGCAGTAAGCAAACTAAGAGAATTTCCCTTTCTCAAGTAATTAATTTACATATACCTCTCTCTATTTAATAAAGAGTCAGTTTTTATTTTTTCCATCACAAATGAAAACTGGCATCATGTGTCAGTTTAGATTATTCTCTCTTGTATATTTAAATCTGGGTAAATTTATAAGGTTAAAGAACTTAAGTATCGCTCACTAATTGCTTTCCAGATTTACAAGCATGGGAGCTATTATATTTTATCGAAGAATATTGAAAGACACAAAATAAGAAAGGCTGGTGGACAATTTCATACTTACCTCGTATCACGTGGAGTACTTGTCATCTGTGATAAAGCCAACGAAATAGGTTAATGCTATATGAGGAGACTAGGATGAAAGAATGGGATGTCATTCTCTTAAAGATAGGAAAACATTACTGGGGTGCTAAGGTCTTTCTGCAAATCTCAGAAATTTTTTTCTTTTTTAAAGAGAGTATGTAGGTGAAAGGAATGCTTTGATAAGCTGCTAAAAGTAAGAGGCAGCCACCTATGGGACACACTCAATAACAATAGACGGTCATTAAAAACGGTGATTCTGTGAAAAGGCAGGGCTTTTGTTTTACTGTTTTCAGTAAACAAAACAGTAAACTGTTTTACTGTTTGGGACCAGAAGTAAACTGTTTAATGCTTTAGATAGTTGTTTATTTTATAAATATGGTTTTTACCATAATTTTATTAGCATAAGGAGAGGATTTCATTGAGATGACAGCAAGAAGGGGCATATGCTCAGAACAGCCATTCGTGGAACATTAACTCCATGAGATTCAGCGATCTCTGTGCTTGTAGTTCCCTGATATTCCAACAATGCATTTTTTTCTTAATTTTACCCTTTTTTATTTTGTCTGTTTTTGACAAGTTTTGCTGCTTCAGTTTCTGCTGTATTAACCAAATTATTTTGTTTTTGATTACTTAATTTCAAGCTTTTCTCTTCTTCAATAAAATAGAATCCCTCTGATCAATAATTCCCATTCAATAACTTCACAAAGACATTGTATAATGTTTGTTTAAATTTAGTAAAAGGAAAACTATGACTGGCAACTAGAGCATCTCTCAATTCCTTCCCACAATTCCTTGGGCTACAATTTGCATACAAAGACTTAATTTAGAAAATAACAAAAAAGTTTGATGATTTCAACAACCCTCCTCAGTTTTTCACCGATATTCAGTCTTTCCTCCAGCGAATTCAGAAAGACAATTAAAGAGCTGGATTTTCTTGGCTTCATTTCCCTTTATCTGTACAATGGTTATTTCACAAGAGCATTTCCTTCCCTTCTTTTAAACTTCCATTTTCCTTTTTGACTCCAGTTTTTTTTTCTTCTCCATCCCTCTATGTATTTTCAACAAACATTTAACCTGTTAGTTTTGTAGGAACAGTCAAGCTTTTGCAAAAGAAATGTTAGAGTACTTTGCATTTTTCAAAAGTCTCCTAAATCCTGATTCAAACAGAGACTATAAATATTGCAGTTTATTTAAGAGTCTATCAGCTGCAAAGTGTAGATAATTTTGAACTTTCAGTTTGAGGCCCAAAGGAAAAGGACATTTTTCAGACAATTGGAATAAAATAGGCATTAGAAAAATTTATATTAAGAAATTGTTCATTGTTAATGTTAACTGTGATAATACTTATGGTTATATTAGTAAAAACTCCTTATCTATTATACACACATAAAGAAGTATTTATGAGTGAAATGATGTATTTTCTGAGATCTGCTTTATGTAACCA